AGGTGCGTTAAGTGCCTCGTACCCCACCTCACCAAGGAGTGCTCCCGCACTCGTGACACACCCGGGGCACCCGCATGCGTGCTCTGTGGCCAAGAAGGCCACCCGGCCAATTACAGGGGCTGCCCGCGGGCCCCACGCCCCAGGCCCAACACTCACACTCGCACACACACAAAGCCAACCACGGCGCCCAAAACACACCCACCACCACCTAATAACACCACCACAAACTTCCCGTGGCTACCCAAGGCGGCCGCCCCTCGCAGCCCGGCGCCCCCGACAACCTGGGGACCAGCCAGGGCCCGCCCAAAACCACACCCACCACAACACACCACACCAACAACACAAGCTAAGCCAGCCCAAGACGTCTCTCTGGGCGAGGACATGGCGCTTATTCGCTCCTCGCTCAAGAGGGTGAATATCGCCGAGATCCACACACTCGCCGCGAAGCTCCGGCTAGCTAAGACACCCCTTGAAAAGGCTATAGCTATAGCCGAACACCCCGAAATCGTTGCCGCGTTCGATTAATTTTTAAAATCATTATAACACTGGAAAACAAACACCTTTGTTGTTTAAATTATGACCGCGCAAAACACTAACCTTACAATTACACAAACAAACCCCGGGCGTACCAAGCCGAAAGGCGCTTCGCTTGTGTCATTTAATACGCGCAGCTTAAAATCCAACCTTAGCGAAATTAAATTATTTTTGCAAGATAGGGAACCCGACTTTCTGCTCCTTCAGGAGACTTGGCTCAAACCAACTCAAATGAAGGGGCTGTCGATCCCTTTTTTTTTTTTTTTAATACGCAGGTAAAAAATCTATTTACAGACGACGGCGCCTTTAAGAGGCACACCGCCGAACGGACCTCACACCTGGCTCCCGCAAGTCTTACGAAGCCCACAGTGGCTGCCCACTGAGGACCCCGCAACTCTTACGAGAGCTTTACGGTATAATATCCGCTAAAAAAGTCCTGCGAATACCCTCTAAGCTGCTTAGCGCGAAGCCGCGGGATCCCCGTTTAGGGATTCTCCGCGTCTGGGCTGTCGATCCCTAAGTATAAACTAATCCGGAACGACGGTGCCAACGCGCGCGGCGGCACCGCAATTTACTATAGACGCAACCTACACTGCACACCTATACCCACTCCCGCGCTCACAAACATGGAAGCCACCATCTGTAGGCTGGCGATGACAGGACACCAGTCCTTAATCATCGCCTCAGTCTACATTAGATCAGGTACACACCCTCACCGCGCAGACTTCGAAACACTCACTTCACTAGGTACATCAGTCATAATGTTCGGTGACTTTAACTCCAAACACACCGACTGGACATGCGAGACCACCACCACCTCTGGCCGCAGATTACTACACATCACCGAGGAGCTTGGCTATGATGTCATCTATCCCTGCGCCCACCCACTACCCAGACAATGTACAAAACCGACCCGACGTCCTGGATTTCGCGATCCTTAAAAACGTGTCGCTTCGCCTCAGCTCGCTCGACGACCTGGGGTCAGATCACAGACCGGTGTCTCTAGTTCTAGGTCCCCAAGACCCACTAGACGCCCCTGCGCCCCCTAAGAGGCTATTCACCAACTGGGACGGATACCGCTCCGCTCTCGAGACCGCTTTAGACTCCCCCGAGTCCCCGTTCCCTAATTCACCGGACAGTCTCGACAGCACCGACAAGATTGACGAAACAATAGACTCTTTAACTTCACTGGTGACCGAGAAGGCGAAGGAAAACTCGCGGGAGCACTACGCACACTACGTACGCGCACTACGAGCCGGTGTACCGCAGGGGTCCGCTCTCTCCCCCCTGCTATACACTGCGTACACCAATGACATCCCTAAGACCAAGGGTGTCGAGCTCGCTCTCTTCGCGGACGACACGGCCCTCTACTATAGGGGAGCCAGTACAAATCAAATCATAGCCAAGCTCCAACCGGCAATCACAACACTTGGGAATTGGTTCCGCGATTGGAGGATCGACGTAAATCCGGACAAAAGTTCGGCCATTTGCTTCGATCCCAAGCGCCGCACCAAAACCATACAACACGGTGCGCGGTCTCTGCGAATGCAAGGCATAGCAATACCGTGGCACCACACAGTCAAATACCTAGGGATCACACTAGACAAAAAACTCACCTTCCGTGCACACATCACACGCGTAGTCGCGAACGCGCGCTTTTATATGAGCCGCCTCCACCCGATGCTCGGTAAATACAGCAAAATGTCACTCCGTAACAAGCGAACGCTTTACAAAGTTTGCATACGCCCGGTCCTCACCTACGCGTCACCAGTGTTCGCACATGCGGACGAAGCGATTTTGAACAAACTTCAAGTGCTTCAAAATCGCTTCTGCCGCATAGCCACAGGGGCCCCGTGGTACGTCCGCAACGCGGACCTCCACAGGGACCTACAACTCGACACAATTCAAACACACCTCACAGAGTGCTCGGAACGGTTCTTCAAAGCTGCAGAAGAGCACTCTAACCCACTCATTAGATCGGCGTCGGGATACGCCCCACACACTCCATCTCGATTCAGGCCCCGCAGGCCCAAACACGCACTCACAGCCACACACAATAAACTCACGCGCGATCTCGCGGCCCTCTTGGCCGCTGAGGATCCAACACTCGCGGTAAGTCCCCCCCGCCCCCCCGACACAGAGAGGTTCGATTCCTCTCAGTCCCCTCCCGTTTCAAGTGCACATCTGAGTGCACTTGTCCTCTAAGCGCATTTTGCGTTATTTTAAACTATGCACTAGTTTAAACTAACGCAGCGCCGCATCATCCGCCTCTCGGGGGGTGATCGCTTCAGATGAAGCTTGTAAGGCCCTTCTGGCCATAAGCATGAATAAAGGGTGTTTTTTAGTCAGTAAGAGTCTGACATAACCTTACAGCCGGCTGTAGGGTATCCATGAGGATTTCTCACCCTCTCCCCCGCCTGGGAGGAAACAAAAAAAAAAAACACTGTTATGAGATGGCCAGCGCGAAGTCCTGATATGAATCCTATAGAGCATCTATGGGATGAGCTGAAGAGGCGTGTTCGAGCTCATCATCCTGCCCCGCAAACCCTGCAGGATTTCCAAAATGTAATTTTGGAAGAATGGGAGGACATTCCTCAACATGTCATAACGACATTGATTAATTCTATGCCAAACCGTATGAGAGCTGTCATAAATGCACTGGGAGGCAATACAAATTACTAAATAAGCGTTTCTTTTCATGTAAAACATGTCTTTATTTAAAAATCGATCAGATTTTTTTCCTTGAAAGAAGCAAATATGGACTTGTTTCAACGTAACTCGACTTTTTTAATAAACTGTAGTTCAAATTTAGAACAGTGGCATTCTAAATGAATGATGATTATACCAGCTCCAAAACTGCATCAAAACATTTTCCTTCCACATACATCTTTTATAAGTTACAGTACTCCAAACCAAAAAAATCAAGGTGGCTCGATTTAGGTGTCTATACTAAGTAAAGATTTATACCGAACGAGTAATTTTCGGGCGAGCTTCACAGTTCTTAAATTTCACAGCCCGCACAGCAGGGCCTATCCAAATCGAACTGTGTCTGTGCTGTGCTGTGACATAACGCAAATGAGCGCGCGAAAAAACGGAAATCTAAAAATGGTCTAAACTTCGTTAATACTGCATATATTTACATTCAGTAAAAAACTAATATAATATACGTAGTCTATACTTTGATGTTACGTACGTAATTGTAATAACCAAGTTACCGCACTAATATCATAAATAACTATTACATCTTGATAGGTATTTGTAGTACCTATTAGTTTCGTTGTTTCATATTACATTACTATAAAGTTTATGGTGGTATGGTAAAACCATGGCATTTTCTCAGGTCCTGACATTGTCTTAATTAAAACAAAAATAACGTATTTGTGTAGACGCTATTTTTGCTTTATTGTCCAAGATGAAAAGTGCTTATCTAGGCACTATTCATCTTGAACCTTCTTGGCAAACCTAAAATCAATAAAAATAAAAGTACATCTACTGAGTAAATCTTGAGACTGCTTATTCAGTTGATTCCTGACGAAATTTATTGAAGTTATACATCTTTAGGCGCGTTATGAAAAAATGATGAGAGTGAAATTTTTAAATGCGCGCGCATCACTGTAACCCAAAAGTAACAGCATGAAGTTGGCCGTGGGCGCGTTATGAAAAAATCATGTGAGTGAAATTTCGAGATGCGCGCGCATCACTGTAACACAATAGTAACACCATGAAGTTGGCCGAGGGCGCGTTATGAATGTTAGTGTCTAATAATGGTGGATTATTAACCACTTAGTAGTTAATAATCCACCATTATTAGACATCTGTTCGAAAGGTACTTTGAACGATCCACGGAGCTCCATAAGATGATCGCGTTGTCAATAACAATGTTGGCACGCTCGTCGCCTCTGATCACTGTTTTCATATTTATAATATTTATCTACATGTTTCTAGTTTCTATATAGACACAACGTGTTTTAGTTACTTACAAGTGCTAATTACATATGGACTAATAACTTAAATTCAGTAGTGATTTTAATTGAATATTTTGAATATTTATTTAATTTTTCAAATTAAAACTGAACTTAATTGGCTGTGTTAACTATCCTTTTCCAGTCCTTTTATTATTTTATTGTAATTATTAATTATTTGCATGCAATTAAAAAATATTTTTAATGATGCTAAAGAAGTATAACTTCTCACGCGCGTACATAAGTTACACGCATCCATTTTTTTTTAAATATTTTTTACAAGTTAACACGGAAAGAGAATGGGATTTAGATTGGAGGGCGCTGTAGTGCTTTTCTACCGTATTTGTAAGGTTTTACCCCTTTTAGACATGATTAAATACAAAAAAACGCAAGAAATCACAACAACAAACAAATCCGTATCAATACAAAACTTTGACGTTTTACAGATTGCTGGGTTTGTTTGCCAAATAAAAATCTTAATGTTAGTTCCGTTTTTCACCACGCCCATTCTCTTTCCGCACAGACTCTATAATGATTTTTTTTCTTGAAAAACTTTCTTTACTTTTAATTCTTAAAATAGCAGTAGTATAGGCAGTGGCAAGACCTAAATTTGATGTGGGCAAAACAGATTTTGCGGGGCCCTGTTCTGTGGCGACCTGAAGACGAAAAAAAAAACGCTTTTAAGCAATGCATAAAAATTTTTGAGGCGCGAGGCCCCTTGTACCGCGAGGCCGTAGGCGGTGGTCCACGTCGCCCATGCCTTACGCCGCCTCTGAGTATAGGTACTAAGTTATTCGGTTTTTATTTAAGAAAATATACCTTAAAATGATATTTAAATATTACCACATTTATCGAATAGGCAATACTTGACCGACTAGTTCCGTAAAATAACCAATTTAAAGGACAATGGCGAAATATTTGTTGAAGTAAATCTTTAGCGTCTATAGATGTCATTATCAGAAATGTTAATTAAATAATCTCAAAAGATTTATTAAACAATTCAGGAGGGTTGTCTAAGTCTGGAATTAAAAACTTAAAAAAGGGAAACACAATTGACTATTTATTTTTTATTTTTATTGTGGCTTGGCATCATGGCTTTTGAGCCATTTATTTTAAATGATTTTAGTGATGAAATCAACTTTAAATATGATGTTCGTATGTTTTGCAGCGCTTTACGCTTAAACTGTATTTAATTTATCTATCAAAAATATCGGGAAACACTATTTTTCAATATTATACTGAAACCATAATAAATAATCTCCACAATACAAAAAGGGTATGGCGACAATTTTAACGCAAAAAACTATAACTGTCACTGTCATGCTTGCCATCGAACTGTTGTTGATATTGTTAACATTAAAATTGTTGCAATACGCATGCACATAAGCACAAGCAACGATAATGTTATTAACATTATCATTCATATATCATATTATTAGTATTGCAACAATTTTAATCGGCGCAGCGTTTTTTCAGTGATTTGTGTTTTTATGTGATTTGGACTCTCGAAATCTTCCCTGCGACTGTTGAGTAGTGCTTGCCTAAGACTTCCGAATCTGATATTTCGGACGACTTCTTGCTGTGGAATTTAGACACGATTCCATCTCATACTGTGGATTTTATTTCATTTTATCTACTATCTACGATATTGTGATCAAAGATATGAAATAAAAAATATATAAAAAAGTGTTTCATATTTAATTAATGTCCCATCAGTACACTATTAGAAATCCTTTTTATACTTTATTATTGCTGTGGTCATTTTCAAATTGTTAAGTACTTAAGGTCGCTTCCCACGGTCCGCGATTCTACAGATCATCACGCGCAGCCGACGACCACGGACGGCAACGTACGCAGACCAGGGCTCTTCCCACGGTGCGTGTCGGTCTGTGTAGATCTTTTGATAGCTTCATTTCAAAATGCAAAGTGAAAGAGAACGTATCTTCGCTGCAGCTGCGGCTGTAGTCTTAATTAACAATTACCAAATTATGCGATCTAGTAAAAGTAAAGTCGCGGCGCCGTAGAGTTTCATAAAATTGGTTCATTTTGATAAAGATTTAAAAATTCAAAAATAAGCTCGTTTGTCCACTCCATTTCTCCGCAACTAACTACGCACAACACTACTACTCGTGTTGACGAACAAACAAGTTATGACCTGTCGTCTGAGCTACCCCGGACGCGTTCGGACCGCGTCGTACCGCACCGCAGCGCACCTTTGAAGTTACCGCCTCGCGACGGATAGCGGCGCACCGCCACAGACGTCCTGTGCTACCACGGACGAGACCCTTCCCACGGTGTGTCGTGCGAGCTGGTCCGCGTCCGTCCGCGACAACGCGCACCGTGGGAAGCCAGCTTAACAGCACAGACATTGTATTCGAACTAAATAATCCTGGTCTGTTTTGTTTAGTATTATTAAGTATTTTGACGCGGTTGGTCAGTAAGTCACCTACGCCCACTGATCATACATTATAAAAATCATTTTTTTTCGTCACTAATCTACGGGAACCGTGTACTTTTATAGTTCCGTTCACGTATTTTTTATTTAGATATAAAAATACTCTTGTAAATATTTTAATAATTCGTTTTTGTATTACTTGGTATGACATAACCTCCAAAACTTCAAAGTAGAATATCTATAAATCCAGACTTCCTATAATAATAGAATTAAGACGAATCAAATCGAGAATCTAAACTCTATAATTTAAGATGCAATTCATTTGTAGACGCAAAAAAAAATTTCAACAAAATTTTTTATGGGAGTTCGCCATTGTCCTTTTGTTTTCATCCATGAATTGCGAATCAAGCGAATGAACTGAGATGCCAGTCTTAAGATTCCGCCTTCTTCGGTTGGAGTGAGATGAGACATAAGTACTACGTAGGTACCTATCACTTTTCTTTCTCAATACAGGCGAAGTCACGGTCTAAAGATTTCGGCATTGTTTGAATCCCCGGAATCAGAATTATTTGTTTGTGAAACTCGGGCTGGCATTACAATGATGAAACTCTTTTACAGAAATTTGCTTCTTAAGTACATAATGGTGTCGATTCTGGCATGATTCTATAAACTTCGTACTAAATTTAACATTTGTCTCTCCTCTTCATTCTGTATAAAGAATGAAAAGGATGCGCTGTTGTTAAATTTCAGTTTAAAGTTTATAGAATCATGCCTCGCTTTAGTAAAACGAAAATCATCAGTCACTTCGCGATGTCTTCTCGCCTAAAGTACCACGGTGCCTGAAGACCAAGATCTTCGAACAGTGCGTGTTGCCAGTGATGACATACGGAGTTGAAACGTAGTCGTTGACAATAAGCCTTGGTTGCTTTCCAAGTACAGCATTATAGCGCATTATGCGGCATAATGCTTAACGTTGAGTGTTCCAACTACAGCAACGCTTCGCACAATTGAGCACTCTCAAAAGTGATGCTTTCGTGTGATGCGTGCAATCGTACCAACTTAGAGACAGAAAATTAACAAGTGTTTTTTCTTTAAGTTGGCATTGATCGAAATGTTTTATTTATATGTTATCGTTAGTAATATTATTTATTGTTGAAAAATTATTTTTGCTTTCGTTTCATTAAATAGTTTTTATTTTAAATAATCAAAGTTCATTCAAACTGTTAAAAAATAAATATAAGTATGGATGAAGGTACAAACATCGACTTTTTTTTTCAACACTGAACTTAGCGCACTCTGCTGGTGCATTTGAAAACTAATTCACGTTCCAATTAAGCATCAGCATAATTGGGCATTGTGCGGCACTGAGTCGCATTATGCTCTGTAATTGGAAAGCATACCTTATAAGTAGGCTCAGCGTCGTACAGCGTGCGATGGAGAGAGCTATGCTCATTGTTTCTCTACGTCGATCGAATTAGGAATGAGTTACCCGGAATGAGTAAACTTATGAAGTTTATAGAAACTGTTTAAAAAAAAAACAGGAATTAAAAAAAATGTTGTGTGAAAAAATTGATTTCTTAGGTCAAAATCATTCAAGAATTATTATAATCAAGAAAACGCTACGCCATTCTTCAATTGAAAATATAACAAGAGCTGAATGTCGAACTTTTGTCATTTAAGAATTTTTAACCGCTAAAAACCTCTTTCTGTTAATACAAATGCAACTGTAACAGTTTATTCATTTTTATATTATTATTTAGTATGTCTTTTAATGTTTGAATTACACGAGCTCCACACAACAGCAATAAATAGCTGATTTGGGCTGTTTTGCGAATGCGCGGTACCCCCAATTGACCGGGTTTGCAAATAACTTATCTAATGTTTAACAAAAATTTACAAGACCATGTATTTGTTATAAAACTAGCAGAACTGACAGCCGTAGTTATAGTTCCACTAAGCTGTAAAGCCTTACATAACGAGTCCAGTTGTGAATCTTAACTTGAGTCTTGACCATCGAGTACTTATTTACGAGTACCATCTGCTCTACTGATTGTTCTACCAATATATCTTAAAGGCCAAAAAATCCTATATGCTCTACCAATCGAAAGGATTTAAGGTTACTACATAATATAATTAATTATGTTTACAGATGATACAGTTTACTGGAAAATCGTCTTCTAAAAGGTTGAGACGGGGGAGGAAAGTTTTAGTCTATGGCGGGCGTAGCCGCGGACAGAAAGCTTATAACGAATGTAATACAATATTAAGGCCCCTCTGACCCAGGACCAAATATTTAATACCCTCATACAAATAAATGCCCTTTCCGTGAACTCCTAACTTTTTGAGAGGAAAAGAACCCATGTTTTTTCTATCAAAATGTCTTGCGATATTATTGCAGCCTTTTGTGCGCATCTATGATATTCTGCATGTTTCAAAATCTTTCGACAATTCAGCAATCCCTGGTTTTTGTTGCGGCATGCGCAACACTGTAAGGTCAGTCCGGTCAGAAGGTAAGAAGGAATCACACAGACAATTCGATCACCACACTTGTCACGATCCGGACACGCCTCTTTCGATTTCTCTTCATTTATCAATCGCTGCCATACATATCCGTCGATTTAAGGAGCCCTTAATGCAAGACTGATTGACTTATTTTACTGTAGAAGGTTTAATGTGGACGACCTGAGGCGTTAGTTTTTTATTATAAAACGAGTGGGCAAATAATGATATTGTGGCCTATTATAAACGTTTGCTTTACCAGAGAATCACTTGTGCATTGCTCACTCGACCCCACCTGCTGTAGGGAACCATGCCCGTGGAATTTTGGAACTTTAATAATTTTTTGTAGTGGTCTTCCCTTCTGTAAGATGGAGGCTCCTTCTTCAGACAGCCATTCCTTTTTGAGAGTAAAATCAGCTACACCTTAAGCGTTCTTAAATCATGTTGTTAATACATGTTAGGTGCATTTATAAATATTTTATACTAAAGTTCATCCAATACATTACTAACAATACATACTATTTATTTCGATTCAGTCCTAATCAACTTGATATTTGAAATACGTTGCCAAATTTGCAATATGGAAATAAGTATGTGAAAATCTTTTTAATGACGGCCTCGTGATAGGTTTGAATTAGACAATAAAGTAGAACGATGGAAATAATTACATACCTACCTAGAATCGAGACAATATACAAAAGTTTTATTTAGACAACCATCTTACTGAAAATCAGACCCAGGATTATAGTAGGGGCGATGTGATTGTACGTACACATTTTAAATGCGTCTATTTAAATAAAACCAAAATTGTTTTCGATATTATGTATTTCATTACATTTACAAAAAACATCAATAAAGACATATTTTAGGTATAAACGATTTATTTCTATATATAAATTACAATTCGAACCATAAAGTAACATAGTACATTTATTGTTTCGATAACTAAATACCTAATACTTCTATTTGATTGATTAGTTCAACCAGTAACGCTCGAGCAAATTATAAGATTCCAGCACATCATCATTTACTTGTTGACTTAAATAAACTTTATAAAATCTTTGAAAAAGTTTATTTAAACTGAAGTTGACGATTCAATTCGCTTTTTTAGATAGAAACATTGGAGTAATAAAAATTGCCGTCTAATATGTTTAGTTCGGCGAATTGGGACTTGGCATTTAATTTTCCCTCGTTACTCGTTTCGCCCGAGTCAGTGGGTTTGCAAAGAGATCCACTGGAGTGTGTGATCACTCGGTACTGGAGGAAAAAAGACCACAGACTGAACTGTTGTAATCGCTTAGCCTCATCTTACGGAGTTGAATTCTTATTTTGTTAATATTTATTTATCATGGCACTTTTATGACTAAAAATCGTTTGGCGTCGCAGCAACCTACTACTGATAGCGGGGTTTGGAACTGAGTCTATTTCTCTTAATATAATACTAAATTATCTCTTTAATTATCTTTAGAACATGAAACGAATAAATTGATATTAAATTTAATTTTAGGTTTAGAGAATTATGACAGAATCAGGCCCTTTGTTTGATCTAATAACAATTCCTTATACTTTACAGTACACAATAATAAGAGTATTAAGTTCATAATGAAGACCACAAAGAAGCGCGCACCGTTCTCAGTGATTGTTAGGCAAAGCCGTACTTTAGTAATTAAATTCTCCAGCGGGCGAACTAAGAAACAATTGACCGCTCAATCCAAGTATTTTACAGTCGAATGAAGAAAACTCTAGCTAATATCGCCCAAGACGCTCAATAACATCTTTAAAACATACAGATTTAATGAATTCGCTACAAAAATAGTATTGTTGTATAGAATAATAACTTTTCTTAAAACATGGAGAAATAGTATAAAGAACGCCAATTCAAAGAAAAGCTATCGATCATAAATTGTTTATACGACTCGCCCGCATGCCAAACTGAATACTAAAGAATAAAAAAGGGTAACTTTCGTAATTTTCATACTAAATTACTACTCGATATTTTTATTGCGTACCTAAGTACCATTTATAGAAAAGGAAATGTTATTGAAAGGTCATGGAGAAAACCTAACCTAAGTTAGTTAACTAAACGAAGTTCTTATTGAAAACGTATTTACAACATAAGTAACTAACAGTTATAGAAAAATAGTGAAAGACGTTTCAGCTGAATTGCTGAAACTTTAGTTGGTAAATTACCTCAATATTAATACACGATACATTTTGTAACGAAAAATAACCATTTACTCTACAGCAGTAATTAGGTATACCTAAAATATAATAAGGCTAACAGATTTGGTATGATAAGGAAAATTAAGACCTCGGTGACTGTAAAATCTAACTGAACTGGTTTACGAATCCTTATAAGACTAATTTATGATTTGTACAAAAATCCCCAATGTTGTTTTAAGCTTATACAAATGTTGGTATTCCCTCGGGTTCCTTAGTTGGGTCATATACCTACATTATATAGCAACTACAGTTCTTCCTCAAGTTGCGTTGCGTCACCGAGTTTGATGAGTCCTATGAAGCTCTTCTCGGGCTCCATGAGCGAGTGTCTGTTCCCGCCTGTGTTTCTGACAGCCAGCCTATCGCCAGCTCGCAGATATAGCGCCGAAGCTGAGAAGCAAGAGTTGGGCTTGTCCAGTATCTCCGTGGAGTGGGAAGATTGTGCGCACTGCAGCAGCGTTTCCCGACCATCGGTTTCTGGATTGGTGCGGTGCAATACCCACGATATGATGTCATGTCGATCCAAGTAATATATCTGTGGAGGATTGATAGCTGCAGTTATTTACATAGTTGGTTTTAACAAACAACATTTTTAATAAAAGCCTGGCGTGTGAAATCTAATCATCATCTTTTGAGTAGAATTACTTATTTGGTTAGTTTCAGACGTAACCATAAATATTAGTTTGGTTTCTCTTCTCCACAGATTAGTAAAGTACATATTTTAGTTGTTTGTAGCAAATTCAGAAATTACTGGAATTTTGAATATGGTCATTTTCGCTTAGGCATTCGTGTTGATGGCCCTGCGTAGATTACCTGCACGTATACGAGGTAGACGCCCGAGTGGTGCACGTGCACGTGTCCGGCGCGCGTCAGCGTAGGGCGTGGGTGCGGCGAGCTGATGGTCCAACCCGACGGGTACCACACGTTGTGGGGCTGGTCGTGATCCACGCGAACTAGCCCGTTACCTGGTGGGATTGTGTCAACATCAGTGAACAACTTAACTCTTTATTATAAAATTAATACATGTCAACATTTAAAAAATAATCCCTATTTCGTTTGGTACTTTATAACTTGACTTTGCCGATTTCATCCATTCTTTTTTAAAAGTTTTCCTATAATAATAATAAATTCATTTATTTCGGACATTTATCTATACTTGTATTATACTATGTTGAAGGATTTTACTGAAAAAAATGACGGGTTGCACTCTGGGAGTGCCAGCAGAAGTATTAACGTTGTGCATTTTTGATATTTTGCAATGGTTAAGGAATAATTTTGCACGAATTGCTTTATTTATCAGTATAAAAGTACTATCATTTATGTGGTAGAATACAATATTTATTTATTGCGATATCGTACACAAACATGACAATTTATATTACATTAAAAAGTTTTATCTCTCAGAAAAATCAACTTACATGAATCACATAACCTAGCGAAATTTATTGTAAAAAAATGCATTTTCTTCGCAATAAAGGTGACACCTGGACGTCCTTATTAGAGGCTTAGTAATGTTTCGTCCAATATATTGAAAGTCAACAACCTTTCCAATTTTATTGTTTTCTTCTTACGAATTTTCGATCGAATCAGGACGTCAGGACTGACGCGTTCAGGCCACGTGTCCCGACGCGAGTTTAACAGTTTTTACCCATTACGAAAAAGTGTACAACGCCGCTAAAGAAGTTTTCACTTCACAAAAAATAATAAAGAAAGTTGCGCTTGTTGAGATGTTTTGATTTTCAACACTCGCCAGGTAATGAAAACTTACAAGGCTCTGTTCCTAGAATCATGGAATTTGGTAAGAGAGAAATATTTATAGCTAAGGTAAAGGGAAAAATCCCATCAAAAAATCCCGTTGTGTAGTGACATTTTAACGATTATAATGTTATAACAACGCCCTTTATATTTAAAAATTTTGTAAGAAACCTTTCTCCCACAATTTTATTAGCTCTTTTATAAAATCTGGGCGACTGCTGCTGTTATAGATTCGTAGTAAATTAAGTCAGCCAATTATCATAGCTGCTGTAGTACATATTACCTTATGACGAGAATACGTGGTTAATCAATATAACATCTGGTACTAGAAATCTGTTTGTGTTGTTGAGTTTCAGTTGAAACTGTTATGTGATATTTGCGGTTAATGGGTATGCGTACGTCTCCAGTTTCAAATTACATACATTCAAATAACAAGAATATTCATAAAAAAATAATTATATTCAATCATAGTTATACGTTCATTTAATAGAATAGACTATTTCGTTGTTTAAACTTTGAGATAAGAATTAATCCAATTAGATAATACCTATCTATGTTTTGTGGTAGCTATTATACTTTTAACGGTTTTCAACCGTTTTATTAACTAGTTCGTTGTTGGCGTGACCAAAAGAGTCCTCAAGAAAGGAAACAGAGAACACGGTTAAAATAAAAATAAAAATGCTTTGATGAAATGCAGGTAATATTTATATCATCAAATTAAATTCCTTTCCGAAGATCCTCTCTGTTTGTTTGAAAATCTCTAAAGAAACTTAAAATTGAAGATAACGGAGTTGTTTAGGTATGCGACTAAAATCAAAACTAATTCTTAATTTTTTCTCAGAAACCAAAAGAAGTATATGTTTTTATTCCCTTTTAATAGGTATTTCATCTGCTGTTTCGGTTCGAGGTATACGTCTCGGCAAACTTCTTGAGCAACGACCATAGACAGAAAGGAAGCTTGCGCAGTAGCAATTTTACGACTCCTTTAAATTTTACATGCGAAAACGTCTACTGCGCAAGTTTATTTGTCTGTGGTTTTGCTCAAGAACTTTACCGCTAACTATAACAAGCTGTGATGTTGATGATGATGCTGATGTTATATTAGATCTTATTTATGCTAGATGTCTAAATCAATAGAATTTTTTACTAGAAAAATCCACGCGGACCAGCCAGCAGACGGGACTCGAAACCGCACCCTTCGCTATCTTGGTTGGCACTGACCATTATGCTACCGCGGCCCTGACGGCCGTGTCGAATTTTCTCTAGCCTTAGGCTGCAAGGCAGCGCTATTTCTTCGCATTGTAAGTATCCCACAATGTCAAATGAATACATTTACAGGTAATAAACATTTGAAAGATAGCAATTATAGTTATTATGGTCAGTGCATTCGCCCGGATAGCGAAGGGTGGCGGGTACGAGTCCCGTCTGCTGCCTGGTCCGCGTGGATTTTTTTCTAGTAAAATTTTCTTTAGCTATGTTATTTTAAATCTTTTACTTCTTTTCATTTATTATTTCATCCAAATAACTTGATTTCTACCTTTATAATGTTCGTGTATTTCAGGATTCAGATGAGATGTGTTCCCGTGGAAGTGAGCGGCGATGAAAGGTTCTTGCGCCTGAAACAATAATAATATTTCCAATACTCACTAATTAGCCTAGCCCAAATGTAAGCATTGTAATTCTTGTGTTATGGGTTACTAGGGTAACGGATATATACATATACTGATACATATTATATATTAGTACATTTTATGTAGAAACACATATAAACATCTAGGACTTGGGTACAAATACTCGTATTAATTAGGCGCTTTGCAGACGACGGGGCGGGGCGGGCCGGTCAATTTCGCCGCGAACGATAGCACAAAGTGAATTCTATATTACAAACGCACACAGAGGGCAAAAAGACCGCGCCGCAGGTGTCCGGCGGGCACTGGCGGCGCGGCATGTCCGCGGCTGCCCGCCGTGGATCATACAAACCAGTTTAAATGCAGTAACGCAGACGGCGGCGCGGGGCGGTCAGCTCAGTCCGCGCCACGCGCTTATTAGTGATGGACTATTCACTAGAACGAACGTCCTGAACTGACCGCCTCTGCCCGTCGTGTGCTTTGTGTACGCGGCGCGGGCAACCGCAGACATCGACGGGCAGACGCGGTTTTTATTGCTTCGCGGACAAAATGCCCGCCCCGCCCCGTCGTCTGCAAAACGCCTAATATTAACATTTGCCCCACCAGAATTCGGACCTCACGAGTAGGCGACACCTTGAAACCCGGTGTGCATACAACTAGGCCACGGAGGTGGTCAATATCAATATACTTAATCAATCACCGTCAGCTTTCTTGTGACCATTTCCGAACATAGGCCTCTCTCATTTTTTAATTAAAACTTCTTTTCGGAAGGGATGTAAATGGAAAAATCCAATGGAAAATATGAAACGGAAGTGCGTCACGAGCGTCACAATATATTTACTATCTATGAGTTATACGTATTTAAGAAAAGAAGTTTCACTGCAGATGTGTGGTCCGTGCACACTATTTTTTCCTCAATGGCTTGGCAATGGCAATGGCTCTTTCGATTTGGTCATCCAGTTAGCCTGCGTGTCCCTTAATGTCGTCTCACATCGTTCTTAGTATATAATAGATAAAACTACCGGCCGCCTAGATGCGACTTCGTCCGCGTTAGCTTGAGTTTTTTGGAAATCCCTCAGGAACCTAACAGTTTTCCCTGATAAGTAGGTTTAACTCTTTCCAGGTTATAAGTTATCTCTGTGTTAAATTTAATTCAATATGAATATTGGCTACCACAAAATTAATTAAAATCGCAACGAATGAACCGATTTCGATGATAAAAAAGTATATTAATTAAAAAGCTTATTAGATCATTGTACTGTTGATTTTGAGTTGATTTGCTGACTTAGTAATGATCCTCATTTGCTTAGGTAGGTACTATATCTATTGCGCGGACGCGGACATTCGGTAACGGCTGCCGCGACCACACCCGCACTCCCGGCGTGCATTAGGGGGGACTGCTGTCCTCAGAATGTACGCCGGGCGACCGGTGCAGTATTGTCTGGTTTTTAGTGGCCCTGTTCAGGGCGTTAGGTAGGGCCCTGTTCATTTGACCCGGCTCAAAGGCTGACTGTAATGAGCAGGGAGGAGTCCCACATACCTTCTTCTTGCTCCCCCGGTGGTAGAAGGAAGGTACTATATCTATAGGTATATTCTATCTATATAGAAATCCCGTGTCGCAGTGTCTGTTATCCAAACTCTCCCGAAACGGCTTAACCGACTTATATTTTACATTTTGAAGGTCTGAAAAGAGGTTGTTGGCTATTTTTTACACCCCTAGATATAAAGGTGGACCCTTCCGACCCCGTCCATTTTATTTTCACAATAGTTTTTTCACTATTTGGTATCTGGAAATACTTGACCAAAGGAATACTTAAGAAACCAGCATTTTACCCCTCTACCGCCAACCCCTATTTTTATAGCGGTATGGAGTTCACTGGGTCAGCTGGTATTATAATTGTATTCACTAAAAGCTCAGATTACAGAACAAAAGGCAGATGGAGCGCACAGTACACAGATTGCGTGCCACCAAAGCAAATATCAAGTCTTAAATCAGACTTTTGTATTTGTGAACAGTTTTTACAATGTTTGAACAAGGCGGAACAGTTTTGATAAAAACTTAATATTCACGTGACGTATTCACAATACGATGCGTTGTAGTGTACTGAAACGAGTTGGTATTTGCTTTGGTGGCACGCAATCAGGGTACCAAGCGCTTCTTTGCCTTTAGTTCTGTAATCTGAGATTAAAAGATTCTAAGCATCATGCACTTATTTGAAGTTTGACCGATTTTTAATAATTGTATTCTTTTGTTAATAACAAATCAATTTGATTTATTACTGACTAAAGCATCGAAACCTTTAAATATATTTTTCATTTCATAACGATAATACCTATAAAATTATCAATCTTGAGGTAATAGGCTATGTGACAGTAAGAAAAGAAATGGTTTGCATCTGTGTTTAATGTGAATATTAGCAGCGATTTTACTATTCTGACAGAGCAAATAAAAGAAAAATACAAAACTTTTGTATAAAACCATTAAATAGAAATATTTTTTGTTCCATGGTCACGTGACGGAAAAAGCCTGGGGTTGGCCAAGACGCCAAGACTAAAACAACGTCACACGC